AACAAAACAGCAATGACATGGGACAAATAGTTATGTTACTGATGAGAAAAGGCAGAAAGCAAATTTCTATGAATTCTGAGATATATAAAAATATGGATAAGATTGGAAGCACACGTAAGGGGATTCAGAAATAAAAACCATTTGTCAGAGTGGTGGAGTGGATGTTTTGCTTAGATAATTTCCTGTAGTATGTAATAGTAAATCCAAATCAAAACACAGGTGTCTCTGGGAGACTGCAGGGTTCTCGGCCCTGGATACACCTTAAAATCACAGCAGCCTCAAACCTACAACGTCTGGGCCCCCCCTGGAGCAGTAACATCAGAATTTCTGTGGACATGGCCTTGAGCATTGGTATTGCCATGCCACCAATGCCGTGTTTCAGAAGGTCCATGGGTGCCACTGTGCTCCCAGGTTTGAGCACCCCTGGGTGAGGCAGTGCCTACACATGTCTGTGCCACCCTGGTTCAACCAGATTGCTGCCGTCACCCCATTGAGAACAGCTGCACAAGGAAGTGGGAGACTTGTTTGGGGACTGATGGGGTGCAGGCCATCGCCGCACTTGAGAAGCCCCTGGAGGAGTTGTCTAAGGCCAACCTGAGTGAGCTACCTGTGATAAGTTAGGAAGACGAGGATATTTTGAGAGGCAGAAAACACCACCTCTGCCCACAGTCCATCCTGCACCCGGCGAGCTCTGCCTACCCCCCCAAACCAGTTCTCTTCTCACCCATCCCCTCTGAGAAGCCTTCCCTCACCTGCAACCCCCCAGCCTGAGATTGCTCCCCACCCTCTGTGCCCTGTAATACCCCGGGGTACCTGTGTCACTGCACTTCGTAGGTTTTTATTATGATCTCTTTGCATCTGTTTAGTGCCAGGGCTCTTCATCTTGTTCTTTTGGGGGTTTCTGGTGCCTAGTGCGGTGCTCAGCACATAATAGATGCTTCATGAGTGATTGGTGAAGGAGTAAGTGCAGAGAAGAATATGTAAATTAGGAGTCTATTAAGGACAAATTTGCTTTTTAGGTAAATATTCAAGAGGTTTCTGGTGTTCTCAGTATTGTAGTTCAACAGCGTAGATGGAGTCAGTGTTAAAATATACTTTTTAGGTTAACCCAGGGGCCTAATCATCATTTGTAATATTGTTTCTGTGAGAGAAATGAAATTTATTCCATGTTTCAAATAGCCAACTTCCAGATGAGTCTTTAGATCATGATGTGTTCCTGATCTGAGGATCGCCTGTACTTTCCCAAATGCCCCGTGTTGAGAAGCTTCTCCCAATGACTGGACAGAGTTGTCCAGGGAAGTTCTCTCCCAAAAGTTTAGACTAGAAAAGAGAATGTTCACCTTGTACCATTTAACAGGTAGTCCATGAGCTCAGTTTGGATCTTCACCATTTCAGTCCTTTTCAAAACACAGCATTAAAATGTTTTTTTCTGACAATTTCATCAGTCGATGGGGCGGCCATTTTGCCAGTGTGAAAACGGTGGCTGATGCTCGCAGGGGGCCTGCCCGCACCGGGCACTGCCTCGGAGCTGCCAGCAGTTGGCGTCCCTCTCTTCCTGCCAGGAGCCTCGAGAAGCCCCAGCTGACCCTGCCCTGGAGTCAGAAAACCAAAAGGAAAGAGGCTGGGTGGGAGGGCAAAACCACTCTCACTCTGTCCAGAACTGAGCCAGCAGCTCCCTTTTCTCAGTCACCAGTTAGGACATAAAATGATACACACGAACTAGAACTTGCTGGACTGTGAAGGCCCCAAAGAAGGAGCCATAGTCCAGCCACAGCGAGGGGATGCTCTGGTGGCCACACTCCTGCCAGCTGCCCGCATCAGCACCAGGTTCTCAGGCAGAGGGAACTAATGGTACAGGGAGATGGGCCACCTTCATGGAACGAGGAACAAACAGGGCTGCTGCCATCGTGGGGGTGGGGGGGATATTCCATTTAAGAGATTTAGATAAATAGGGTTGAGCAATAATTGAAAACAAAATTCTGGCTGGAGACATGGGGGAACCAGGGATAGAGCTTACAGAAAGGTGTTAGATATGTCGTTCTTCCTCTTCAGTGCTCGCTGGTTAAGAGAGAGCACGGCATGTCTTCAGGGTGGTCAGGAATGCAGTGGCTTGCCTGGCTGCTGTGGGCAGGTGGGGGCTGCAAGCTCTGAGCTCCCCACCCTCAGAGGTCTTCAGGAGCACAAGGTGATCTGTGCTTTGCATGTCTGCAGAAGTCAATGCCCTTTCTTTACATGAGAACAGGGAATAAACCAACTAAAAGCTTCTTTACTTTAATATAAACGCATAACCCCCAAGGAAGAGCCATTTTGAGGATGATTTTTCTAAGACAGCTGTGCCTCCAAAGCATAGAAAATCAAACCCTTTCAGCTGCAAGTATTTGAAGAAATAATTTACTTACCCAAGGAAAGGACAGTCACGTTTTCTTGAATGCCAACATTAATTTAAGGAGGCTTTGCACCCACACCAGATTTTTATCTGAAGGACCGCCTCTGCTTGGTAAAAGAGAAAGGAGATTCTTAGGAAGTGAGGACTCGATCATCTCTTTTTAGGAACTCCAGATAGCAGGTGCTCAAGGCCCACACAGAGATCTCAGGAAGTCATCCTTTCCTCTGTTATGGCTGTAGTAATGTACAGAGACAGCCGTCTGCATTCTACACCCTGTGCTGAGTTGTATGAGAGGCTTGCAGCTGGGAGAGAACATGGTTATTTGAACACAGATGTAAATTTTTCATGGATCAACCTGCAGTCTCAGTGTTGAGAGACTTCTTCATACAGAAGAATGTTTTTCTTTCTTATCTACAACATACTTACTACCCATTTTTTTCTAGAACAATACAACTTATCTTACTACCATAAGATGTATTTGGTCATTTGTGAAATGAAAATGTAGTTTAAAATAAGTGTAAGAAGCCTATCTGGAAAGTTTACACACTGTGTGATTCCAATTATATGACATTTTGTAAAAGGCAAAACCGTGTAGGCTGTGAAAAGCTCAGTGATTGCCAGAAATGGCGGGGGTGGGGGTGGGCGGGATGAAGAGGGGGAGCACAGGGGATTTTCAGGGCAGTGAAGCTGTCGTTCTGTGTGATGCTGTGATGGCGGGTACATGCAGTGGCACACTGGTCAAAGCCCCTGCACACATGACATCAAGAGTGACCTTAAGGTGTACACTATGATGGACTTCAGTTAATGATAAAGTATTAATATTGGCTCATCAATTGTAACAAATGTACCGTATTTGGGAAACTGGGAAAGTGGTGTGTGGGAACCCTCTTTTCTCTCAGTTTTTTTTGGGGGGGGCAGGTGTTTCTTTTTTTGGTAAACTTAAAACTGCTCAAAAATGTCTATTAATTATTTTTTTAGAATAGCGCCTGGCACAGAGCACTATTGACCACTTATTAAATACATGCATGCAGTTTTCCTGATGGGAAGTCTAAAGTCCCAGTTAATGGGAGCAAATGAGTCTATTAATTTTTTTAAACGTCAGCCTCATGGCCTCATCTCCATGGAAATGGAGGAGGTGGTGAGTGATGCCGTTCTTCTTTGGTGCCCAATGTGTAGCCTCAAGCAATTTCATTCGAAAAAAGTTATCAGTATATTAAATCTCCTTTTCTTACTGGTGGTTGTTGCTATGACTAGTCTCTTTCTTTAAAAAAACAAGCCAAAAAGAAGAAGACAAAATTAGCTTCCCCTCTTCTCAAGAAGTTCCTGTCTGCCACACCCCTTCCTTATTCCACTTTCTAGGTGTCATGGCCAAATAGTAAGTCCGTGTGCGCTGCCCCATCTTGGGTCTGTCTGTTCTAATCGGTGAAGTCGCTGGCCCTGCGCTAACTCCAGGCGCAAGAGGAGGGCTGGTTCTCCTCCTACGGTGTGGGAAGGGGAATGGTTGGGTAATCACCGCAGTACATACCTACACACTGGAGAAAATATCATCAGGAACAGCACAAGTAGTGAGGAGTAGTTGTTACAGCTGGCCAAAGGAAAACTCATCCTTACAGATTTACAAATCAATTAAAAAAATGCTGTGTACTAAATGCTTCATTTTGCAGCACATAAAATGGGTTTCCCTCTGGAGGGAAAGCAATGTATCAGACACTTACCTTCATTCACTAGCCTTTAGTACACGGGTGCCCAGTGGCAGACAAAAGCTGGGCCGGTGTAAAGGCAGCAGAAATTCCTGTTATCCCGTGATGTCTGTGGCATTGCTGCTCTTGTGGACAAAATTTTGTTTCCTCCCTAGAAGATTACAGTAAAATCATACTCAACACACATAAAGTAGTGAAGGTTTTCTTTTCCAAAGAATGCCTTTGGGAACGGGTTGTGTGTTATTGACAAGCTGCCTGCACATCTGAAATGCCAGCAGAGTGAGCAAGATCTCCGGGCCTACCACCGTTCTCCTCTGCAGTATCTTCTCAGCCTTCATGGCCCACCTGGAGCTCTGAAGAGGACGGAAGATCTGTGTCACTAACTAGCGCATGGATGGACCTCCCCGCTCAGCATTCAGTTTCTGCCTGCGGCCAAAACATTTGGGAAGAGAGCACCATAGGCCACCTCCAGGGTACTGGGGAGATGAGGAGTGTAATCCACTCATCCCTGATTTTCTTTGAAAATAAGATTTAATTACTTAAAACTTCACATATTAATTAAGCTAGGAAAAAATAGGAAGTAAAAAAACCCCTAAGAAATATATTGTCATATTTTCATTTAACTCTGGAAGAGAAAAGAATCTTGGGCTCTGAAATTTGCTCTCTTGATAAACTGGGACTCATGGGCAGAATAAGAGTCTCTGGAGGTGGGGAGGAAGCAACAGAGGGTTGAAGGAATAGCACTAGCAGCTGGAGTCTCCATCTCCAGGTGTGCTGACAAGCATTTAGTTATTTGCTCTAATGATACACAAAACTTGGAGATCCTTGGAAAGTGCCATATGGGATATTTGTGCCTAAAATCGGACTCTTGGAAGTCACTTTCTCAACCTTGTCCATATCTCCTTCCTTCGCAGGGCAACGGGCTTTGGCTTCTTGAACGCACTCTGCAAAGCTGCCGCCGTCCTTGGGAACTTAATATTCGGCTCCCTGGTCAGCATCACCAAAGCCATCCCCATCCTGCTGGCCTCCACCGTGCTCGTGTGTGGGGGACTGGTGGGGTTGCGCCTGCCGGACACACAAACCCAGGTCCTGATGTAACTGGAGACAAGCCATCCGCCCTGTGTTTCTCTCTCCTGCCCTGTGTCAACTCTCCTGACCGAGTCAAGACTTCAGGTTTTTCAGATTTAGAAAGGTGGTCAGATACCAGAACACTAACTCTTGCTGTGACTAAAATTTAGATGCATATCATCTTGCCCCTTAAATGTGATTTTGCAGAGGCTCCACCCCTCTTCCCCCATGCATTGTTATCTTCCCTGAGTTGCTGCTGCCTCCCCAAAATCCGTGGAAGCATTTTTTAAAATGTCCCAGTCAGCTGGGCCTCCCTGAGATTCTGCTCGCGGAAGGGTGGGAGGCTCAGAGGACTGAGCTGCTGCAAGAAACAGATCCTGCTCCTAGTTCCACATTCACAGGAAATATAAGTTGGCATATTATTACATTTGTGCTGAGGAGAGGGATTCTTTTTCTCTATCTTTTTTTTCAAACAGAGTGACATTTCCTGTTTACTTAGAAAAGGACACCCCGCAATTCTAGCCGTAACAGCAGGGCCTTTCAAAGAAAACCATGTGGTCCCAAACAGAGCTGGGTGGAGCTCTTTCAGGAATGACAATTAAGGTGACGCCACTGACAAGAAAAATAAAGGCTCTGCAGTTAGCAGCAGAGGTCTGCATGAGCTGAACCAGCAAGATGTCTGCCAGAAAGGTCCATTAAACATCTGAAAAATGTGAGGAAATAAGGCCCGTGATTGTGACCTGTGGTTCCGAATGTTAGAAAACCAGAGATCAGAGAGAGAGCTTTCCCTGCCCTTGTCCCCCACCCCCAGCTGCGACTGATCTTGCCAGAAAGCAGATTCAGGAAAAGAAAGCCACTCTCTTCAAAGCCACTTGGGTCTGCCTACCTGACTGCCATTCATCCAAACTGTCTCTAGTGTGGGAATGGTCAGTCAGTCATCCAAGTCTTTGCAAATCGCAAATTAGGGAGCCATTCACACCTAAGGCCATTTAGAAATGCCAGGGAATACCTTGAAGGACAGTGACCCCAGTGTTTGACATTGGACTTTGTAGCTAGCATCCCTGAGGCAGGTCCCCTGGGCTGGGGTGTTCTGTGTGAAATCACAGCCTGCCACCCTCCGGGGGCCCTTCGGCAAACATGGCGGCCTCTCCTGGTGGTTTTTGGCTGCTCATTTGATCTGTGCAATCTGCCTGGGCCTGGAAGAGAGGGTCAGCGGGACATTCCCAGGAGCTGTCGAGCTGACCTTCTCACCCCTTGGGGCTGTTCCTCCTCCAAGCTCAGCCCTTTTACTCATCTTTGAAACCTGAGGCCTTCTTGTAGACTTGCAGCAATGACCAGTAACCAGGAATAAATCCCATATTAAAACAATATTCCTTTTTTAACTCTCCATGTCTTGTGAGGGGGTTACCCCACACTTATTATAGGCATTTCCAGCAGCCCTCGGCCCTGGGCCTCGCTGAGGAGAGCCTTTGTTCCCGACAGTCATTACGTGCAAAGATGTCTTAACCCCAGAGGCCCCTCTGCCCCCCTTGCCCCTTCCTAATGATCCTCCTGGAGCTCCAGACTGCGGAGTTCAGACTCTGAAAAGCTTCTTTCATTAACATAAGCCATTAATCGACTCCCCCTTGAAGTAATTCAGGTCTGTAGAGGGGGGCAGCCTGGGGTTGGGGGCTGGCAGGAAGAAAGTGGTTCCCTGGGGAGTTGGCTCAGGGCCAGAACATCAGGAAAACTCAAACCCAAAGCTAAGGGGGCAGGCAGAAGGAAAATCAATAAAGACTAGATGAGAGCCATTAGACTGTTATCAACAAAGCAAGGAAAGCAGCAGAACATACCCTGGCTTCTGCCTACTGTAATACTGCTGGAGAAGAAAGACAGCATCAAAAGTAAGAAGGGGCCTGTATGTTATTCTTCCTACAGGCTTATTTCTCCACCTCTCTACCCCTTGATTTTTCTTCTTAAAAAAAGATGTACTGGAGGACCTGAGCAGGCGGCATTTTTTAAAACTGAATGTGGCATGTACAGTGACAATTGCAAATGTAAGGTGTATGTGTACATGGGTGTTGCTCTCTCATCTTCTGTGAGAGCTAACTGCTAAGTGGACTCTCTTTACTTCAGAAAGGTCTCCCGTGTCCACCATAGCTCTACACGCATTCATCGTCTCCCAAGCTGCCGAGCTTGGTTTAGGCAGACTTTGCTTTGAATACGGGCCTGAGTCAGAATAGGATAAACCAGCAGAACCCCACCTCATGAGACTGGCCACCATGCTTGCCCTTCCAGAGGGCCTTTCTTGGCCTTCTTGGCCCTTAATCCGAGCCTCCCAGGTGGCCCAAGAAGGATCTATTTTAATCTCCTGGACAGTCTGAGGTCACAAACCTTCTTGGTCACCACCTTCCCACCTTCTGTGCAGTATTCTCTGCCTCCCTCCTGTTGTTCCTGTCACCTGGATTTTCTATGAGAGCTCAGGTTGTTCCCAAAGTATGTGGTGTGGCCTGTCTGGCTTGTTCTGGGGTTAGCTGGATTAAGATATAGCCATGCCATTAAACAGAAACTCTCAGTTCTACCACCGTAGGAGGCTGCTGGCACAGGCACCTGCACCCAGCATCTCGTTTCAGCTGCAGTTGAAGGAAAGGGAGAGTGTGTGCAAAAGCGAAAGCCTAGGAAACAGCCCCACTTGCTCCTCTATTTCTAACTCCTTTTCTATCTAAAATTTCCTCAGAGCTGTTTGGAATCAATCCAGCATGTGGCTGAATCCTGTTATTATCACCAGGTCCTCTCAGTAGGAAAGACAACCCAGCCACTCCAAACTGTAAACCCTGTGTCACGTTAGACCCCAAGTCGTGGGTCTCACAGCCCCAGCTCTGTGCAGTCCTGGGCCTCAAAAGCCAAACCCAGCAGCTGGGGTCATCTCAGGCCCAGAGGCTGGGCCTGGGAGGTAAGACAGATGGGCCCTGGCTCCACACTAACCAACAGTGAGACCCAGACCTTGCTGGAGAGAATGTGAGTCGTGGAACATCCCTGGTCCTCAGTTTCCCTGTCTGTAGAGTAAAGGATTGGGACTAGTTCAGGATTCTAGAGGATCTTCATGGAAGTAGCTTTATTTGATTACCTTTTGATGCTGCACTCATCTTCACAAGCACCAAACAATTTTGAAACTGAAAAATTAGGCTCCAGGCACACATGCGAGAGCTCAGGAAGCTGTTTGGGAAATCCTGGTGGGGTGGGCCAGAGAACAAAGTTCTCGTGTTGTTTGTGCTCCCAGCTTCATAGAATCTGCAGCATTGTCTCGATTCGGTGCTGGCTGGACGGTTTTCATCGCCTGCCCAGGACAGGGACCGACCTGGTCAGATGGAAGGCCCTCTGAGCACTGTACTAATCACTGAGGCCTCATCCTGTAGCTGGCTCTTGCCTCTGCACTCCGCTTTATTCTTCAGACATGGTCGTAAGCAGATCTAGGCCTTCAGAAACGGGTTTTAAGTGATTTCACCGAAGCTGGCAAACATACCTTCATGTACAAATCTCACCAAATCAGAGTGCAGGTTCACCCCAAGAATGACTCAGCTGCTTTTCTGGATGTCTTGAGAGATCGAGGGAGAGGAAGGAACAGGCATGTACTGGCAGCAGGTAGACACCAGACATCAGCGCGAAGGTTCCAGGGAAGGGGCTGGGGTGCGGCCAAGACTTTCTAGACCCTGGGATCATTTCAAAAGCATTCCATGGGAATACCTTCTGGTTTTCTCTGCCAACCAAAGTAGAATATGATATCTTCCATTTTTTTCTGTTCAGTATCAAAATGGCCTTCATCTAGTTCTCCAGTGAAACACTTCACCTGTTCATGCATTAAAGGCTCTGAAGCCAGGAATGTATGATTTCGGCCTTTACTTGGTAGCGTAGAAAGACAACTGGTTGGTTGTTTAGGTGTATGTTGGCTGTATGTGTGGGTTTCCTTTAGCCCCTATATCATGCTGACCTCAGTCCAGTTACCAAACCCACAGAAACACCAGTCACGGTGGAACAGCAGGAAGTCATCTACACAGCAAGGCCCTCTGAAATGGACCGTGTATTCCTTACAGTATCTGTTTCTACCGAGCAAAGTACGTTTTGAGTAAAGCTTCTCTTGTAATCTATGCCATGTAGGCAAAAGAACATGTCAGTATCTCCCAGGTATTTTGTGTGTGCCTTCATTGTTTCAGGTGTGGAGTGACAGTTCCCCGTGTGATGTCCTTGTGCTCTAAGTATTGACAGTGTCTCACCAGCCGGACAAGCCATTGCCAGGGCTGCCTTTGGTCTTTCTCAAACAATACCTAGATCCCATTCATACAGTTCACAGGTCTGTTCAGACCCTTGTTGAAGGCCGGTGGGGCTAGGTGGCAAAAGAGTGGGGTAGAGCCTTCACTGACCTGTCACCTCATGTGATTATTCAATAAAAATAGTTATTGTGCCCCTGCCGTGTGCTAGGCTGCGGCACTGTGCCATGTGCAGACAGCTCACCTCTGCAGGACTTAAATGAGGCCAGAGGAAAAACGGGGGAGTAACGAGAACACATCTGTAATGGGGGAGGGCCTTGTGCTGAGCCCATTACATAGGGAAAACCCCTCCCCAAAGCCCCTCCCAAACAAACACAAAGTGTTGGGTGTTTCCCCCCAAATTTAGAAGAAGTTATTGCCTATGGTAGACAATGCAGGAACCCTTTGAAATTTGGGGATATCTCTGAGAGGAGGAGAAAGCCCCGCAACTGCCTGGACTTTGCTGAAGGGACTACTAACTAGTACTTAAAAAACGGAGCCACACTTGTGCTGTTTCTTAAAAGGTCTTGGCAGGAAATCGCACTAAGGTATCATCCAAGGGAAAGAATCAACAGCAAAGATAGCCCCATCTGCAGAAAGTTGTTCGTGTTTAAAGTTCCCATGTCTTCCAAGATAGCCTTTTCATGGCCTGAAACTGGAGGTGGGGGAGAGGAAGCTGCTCCCAGGGCAGGCGGTGCGGAGTTTTCCCTCCAGAGCAGAGTGGAGTCAGCAAGTCCCTCAGCAGCTGCCCCCAGCTTCCCAGGGTGTTTCCTTTCCGATTTTGAAGACTTGTGACTGAGTCAAGTGTCTTTGCAGATATCCTAGAGCAGCTTTCCCCCCTCCACCCTCGGCAGATAAGCCACATAGCAAACAAGTTCTGACAGTCAGTGGCAGGAGGTTTCCCAATTTCAGTTTAAGAACCAGTGCATGGTTGTGGCGGAGTGTCTTGAAGCTGCAAAGGTCTGATGGGGTTCCGAGGGGGCAGAACAGACAGAGGGCGGTTGTCGGTGGCCCCCCGCCCCACCCCCTGCCCCCGAGAGCTCTGATTTCCTTATTTTACTCAGTAGCCCTCTCCTCTACCTGCCCCAGGCAGTATATACACACTTCCTTTCTTGTCCTTCTCATCTTCTTTCTCCTCTTGCCACCTCTTGACTCTAGCAGTGTACAAGGCAAGGCCAGGCTACTGGGGCGCTGGGACTAAAGAAGGTGCCAATCAAGCCATATGTGAGGTGGAGGCCAAAGGATAGAGCACATGAAGAACGGGGGTGGTTGTGGGAGTGGGTGGGAGCTCTAGACTGTTGACCTTGACCGAGCTCCCTATACTGGGCTAGATTTCCAACCGCTTCTCAACTCCTGTGGGTGATAGATGGATGGGTACCACTGGCATGAACTCTCAGAGAGGCCCAGCTCTCAGAATCCACTGACCTGTGGAAGGTGGACTCACCTCTCTACGCCTACAGCGGGTCTTACTTGGTGCCGAAGGCTGGGTGTGTTTCATTCAGATTTAAATGCTGAAAGTGCGGAGGTCGCTCCTGCTCTGCCTACCCTGCCACATTCATGCTCCCCTCACAGCCAACGGTGCCCAGAACTAGGAGGAGGAGAAAGCAGCCCTCAGTTCAGACTCAGGCAGAGTTTAACACCAAGCTAGCGGCTTACCCTGAGAGCAGGGGTGCTGGGTCCTAAGAAGCTTTCGGGTGCCTGGAGAGTGACTGTCTGAGCCTGTCTGCAGGGGCCTGAGTCGTGGGTGGCCTCCCACTGCACTGACCCAGGCCACACCAAACTGAGCCCCATGGGTGTGCGGGTCAGCACTGCCCATAAGCCGGAGGGAAGGAAAGGCTTAGCAAGCTCAGCCTCCTGTCAGGACACAAAGGGTTTCTTCCTGCATTTGTATTGACTCAGAATAGGACCCACAATGCAGAGAATCCACCACTTTCCACGGGTATTGTTCCTTCAGGGAGAACAGACCAAAAATTGGCTGTTTTGTTATGTGCAAACAAAAATAAACTTGTTTGAAGTTACAGAGTATCTCCCTTCTCACACCCAAGCAGGCGTCCAAGAAGGACACTCCTTCCCTGCCTTTGATGCTCTCCAGGCCTGCCCAGGTAGAGCCGGACAGACTGATGGCTACATCTCACTTCCACCTCTGTTGACACACGTTTATTGTTCCAAGTCTGTGCCCTAAATCAAACGGGTGGAAAATTGTTCTTTCTTGATATGTGCTTCCACGGCATCCAAACATGTGGCTGTGTATCCTCGCCCTGGCCCAGGCACACATTGAACGGATTACACACCCCTCACTGATGTCCAGACACTGTCAATCAAGTCCTGGGAGCGCTCTTCCTCTCGGGCTGCCTCTGTTCCCGCAGGCTGACCTGCAGACCACTCTCTTCGCAGTGAGAATTCAGCAGTGGCCCCGTCCTTGGTTTGGCATCTGGGCGTCTTGTTTCGTCTTGTCTTGTTTCTTTCCTGTTTTTACTGCTCTGTAAGGCCTCCTGCTGTGAATGTTCCAATTACCCCCATTGTACTGTATATATGTGCTGCATGTGTGAACCCCAATAAATTCTGTTCCAGGTTTCTGGAGTCTTCATCTTAAGTACAGCTGGTCCTGTTGTGAACTCATCTTTCTGGTATGTTCCTCTGTGTCTGATTCCCGATTGCCAAAATGTTTGACCAAGTGTGTTTTGACAAATGTCCCAAGACAGCCATGTGTATCCTTGTGAAAGGGCATGCTCTGTGGGGGGTGACTCGTGTACAGCATAAATCTACCAAATGTGGAAGCGTGTATACATGTATATGTCAGATACTCAACATTCATGTAGCAGCTGCAAAGATATTTAATGTACATCAGATAAATAAAAGAGCATTTTTTGCTCCATTATATTCAAATAAAGATTGCTGTGTGGCTGACTTCCCTTCCAAGCATGAATTGACTCTTAAAAAGTAGGTACTTTTTAAAATGTCCTTGGACACCATGAAAACCTGTTTCCCTTGATTTGGGCTTATTTGAATTGTTTCTGTGGGCTGGTGTCTCGGGTATTGATCCATCGCTTGATTTTACAGGAACACTCTCTGATTGTCAGCCAGGATCACTGGGAAGGAAATGTTTGTGGGGGTGTTTGTGGCAAAGCAGATGCGTGTGTTCTTTTGCCGAGAGCGGGAAGAGCAGACAGGTTTTTAACGAGCATATGGACTCCCATGGCTTGGTGGTGGCTGCTTGGAACAGGAGTTTGAGAAGATTGAAGAGGAAAAAGTGCTACGTTTTATAGCATTGGCACTGGAGGCAGAAACACGGACTGCCTGCCATGGATTTGCTACTCCCAAAGAGTACTTTTCACTGCATTTAAAAGAAGAACCAGCCGGTGTGATTCAGTTAGTTGGAACCTTGTCCCGTATACCTAAAGGCCATGAGTTCAATTCCTGGTCAGAGTACATACCTAGGTTGCAGGTGTGGTCCCTGGTCCAGGAGCCTACTCTCTAGCACTCTTCCTTCCCGTCTCTCTAAGAGCAATAAAAAAAAAGTCCTCTGATGAGATTTGATTAAATAAATAAATAAATAAATACCCAGCTTCAAATATCTTTACTAATGAAGGGAACTGTTATTTCACGTAATAAAGAAGGTGGGACAGTTCCAGGGTTGGCTGTGATGTCGCTTAGAAACATCATGGAAGGCCCAGGTGCTCGGTTTTCGGGTCGGCTGTCCTCAGCGCTGTGGTTTTGTCCCCTCACGGGCACCAGATGGTTCCAGCAGCTCTAGGCATCATACCATCACACAAACATCTAAGGGCCAGAGAGGGATCATCCCCTCTTTATGATCCTTTTTTAAGATCAAGCGGACATTCTCAGAATCCTCCAGTGGATGCCGCCCCCCGCCCCCCACCGCCTCTCCCCACCACCCAGCCCATCTCATCATCTCACTGGCTGTATTCGCATGGCCTGCCTAGTCCTAAACCAGTCACTAGCAAGGGGACTGTGATCCCCATAACTGGCACAAGCTGCTCAGGACTCCCCTCCCCCCAGACACCGTGGAAGGAGCTGTCTCTCCCCTGAAGCACACGGCTTCTGACTGCCTGAACACAACTGGGGTTTAATGGTGTAGTGAGTGAGCAAGGAAGAAGGGAGGTAGCTACTGAGTAGGCCCAGGGCTCCAGAACTGAGCTATCTCATGCTGCAGCCACATGTAGCTATTTATGCTTAAACTCAAAATAACTAAAATTAAATTTAGTTCCTCAGTCACACTTTGCCACATTTCATTTGCTCAATTTCCACGTGATTCGTGGCTACCATAGAACACTTTATTATCACCGAAGACTGTCGAAAAACACAGCCCTGGAACTTGTGCGTTCACACACCCCTCTGCAGGCTGCTGCTTCTCCCGGGGCTGCTCTCCCTCCTTCCGGGTTCTCTCCCCTGGGCCGGAGCCCTCCGTTTTGCTACAGCAACTTCATTCCCCTCCTCTTCCTCCAGCGGACTGGAAATGCCCAGCTGTCACCCCACACAGGCCTCCCCCCTTTCCCAGGCCCCAGCCCCTCAGGTCTAAGACCTGTTTAGTATTCCAGAACAGTCACCATCTGCCTCCCTTCTCTGAACTTCCTGTTGTATGAGGAGGCTCTCACATGAAGGGAAGAGAAGTGTCTGCAGGCTGAACATCCCAGCAGCATCAGGGAGGAGGGCAGGCATGGGAACTCACCAGATGCTGCATATGCTCCTCGGGGGTCATTGTGGGGTCTGAAGGCGGCGTCCACAGGCCTGGCCCGGACAAGTGGCCACAAATTCCCAAATGTGAAATTCCTAGCGATCAGTATGGAAAACAAAGCAACACAGGTCCTGGGGGAATATCTTTTTCTCCTTATTGAGGTCCGGTGCCATGAAGTCACGAGCATTATCTATATGAGTTTGCCAGGGCTGCTCCAACAAAGTACCACACACAGACTGCTACAGGAATACACAGCAGAAGTTAATTTTCCCATAATTCCGGAGGCTGGAAGTCCAAGATCAAGGTACAGGCAGGGCTGGCATCTTCTCCCCTTGGCTTTACATGTCCATCTTCTCTCTGTGTGGTCATATGGTGTTCTCTCAGGGCCTCTCTGTGTCCTGATCTTCTCTTCTTATGAGGGCACCAGTTATACTGGATTAAGACCCATTCTAAAAATCTCTTAAATTCATTGTCACCAAAAACAGTTACATTCTGAGGTACTAGGACTTAGGAGTTCAACAACGGAGTTGGGAAGGGGCACAATGCAGGCCATAATATTATCCCTGCTTATTTGTGTGTGGACTGTGTGCCGAGTGAGTTGTGTGCATAGACACTGTGCACAGACTGTGATCGGACACGCCGGGGGCCAGAGGGAAGGGCCGCACAGCCGTGCGTGTTGTCAGTGCAGGGACGTCCACACCGGCCGACGGTGTTCTTTAATGAGGGTTCATCAGGGTGTCCTGGAGCCAAACAGAGGACACACCTGGGAGCGAGATGCCGACAGACTGAGACGAACGCTTCCGGGAAGGCCAGTTCGTCGTTTTCCTTCACATTTGGAATCAAGGAGGGAACGTAAGAAAGATTACTGGAAGGTGGGAGAAAGCAAGGCAGGGAAACCTCTATGACTGAATTACAGGGTAGTTAACAAGATTATATGCTCTCTTGGGGGCGGTCACAATTCCAAAGGGTCTGAGAAAAAGGCACTTCAAAGGTGTGTTAATGTCGGTGCACAAAAGCAATGGACAGGCCTGCTAAGGCAGAGGCGGCCTCTGCTAGGGAAGCCACCCGCGGAGCCAGCACCACCCAGTTACAGGTCTGTGGGCGGATCACCCTGTGCCGTTACTTTCTGTCGGAGGTACTGCAGAGCCCCTTTTTCGTCCACAATATATGTTCCTTCTTGTGTGTGCTGTTCATTTAGAGAGGCACATAAAGAAAGGGGTTGAGGAATAACTCCAGGGCCTTGTATTCGTAAGCCAGAAACCGAAAACTCTGGGGGACACTCCAGGGCAGCCTAGCCCAGCTATGAGGTCTCTGCGGGACTCTTCTTAGACCAGTGAATCTTTGCATCCTTCAGTCTCCCTGCTTATTAGAATTCCAAGTGAGACTTTGCTCCCTCTGTACAACCATCTTCTTTAATCCTGGAGCTGAGGGTGCATTGTTTTCTACCCTGCACCAGAGCTCCTGAGCAGAACAGCCCTTCCGTGGACCTGTCCCTGGTAAAGCTTCCTTCAGGACCATGACCAGCTTGTGCCCTGGTCAGCTGCGAGCAGAGCCAAGAGGAGGCCCATTCCTGGAGCTGGAGTAGACATTGTCAGCCTGATACTACCTCCATCCCTTTGTTGAGTGGGGAGAACAGATGCGTCATCATCTCCTGCAATTTGCAGTCCAGACACCAGGGGGAGAAGTGAAAGACACAAAACAGACAAGTTCCTGAAACTCAGGCAGGTTCCAGTCTGGCAGCTGCCTTAACTGCCTGGGGCCGGAATGAACCAGGCGGTGTGGTCTGGAATCATGGAGGAGACAGTAAGCTCCAACCCAGACTCCAGTTCACCAGTGGCCTCCTGCTCTTGGTCCTGTTTCTGGGTCCACTGGCCTAACGCCAACAGGAGGCAGAACAGACCATGAATGCACCAAATGCCCTTTGGACTGAGATGTCTAAGGAAATCTCAGCAAATTCCATTTTGGAAGGGCCTATGTGGAAAGCTGCTGCACATCACAAAAGGCTAAGCAACTTGTAAGTTGCCCCCCTCCCCTCTTTGTGCTTTGAAAACATCAGACATACCCCACCACAGGCCCAGAGTTTTGCTGTGATGTGGCACGTTCTTCAGCCTCCTGCCTCCTTTAGAGGACGCCCTCCGCCTCCCCTCTGCATTAGTGGACACCTGCAGCGCTTTTTCCAGAGCTCTGTCTGCACTGAGGGCCGGTGAACCTTCCAGTGCGGGGAAGCAGAATGCCACTGTTGCTAAGCGTGACTCTGGGCAGTCAGTTCTACGCGTGGGCGGGGGGAGGAGCACTTTTTAAGAAAAATGATACAAATGCGTCTATTTGGAATAAGAAAAGAAACCACTGCAATATATAAATTTTTAAAAAACCTGACAAATATCACAGACCATAATGAAATCCAGAAAAATAATACAGTATTTTTTTATTAATGAACTGTCTGACACACCTCTATATTTTTTTTCCTATATATTTTTTTGGCTTCATACTCTTTGATTGCCTCTTCCTGTGACAGCAGTTTGGTGATGTCATTGTCACAGAGAGGATATAAATTTAAAGTTCGTTTCGATTACCAGTAGTTTTTTTAAGTCTCTTGTTTCTTCTCCACTTCCCACAGACTTCCTGTGCTGAAGTCACAGACCGCATTTGTATTTGCAATCCAGTCTCTGACTCTGTACATTGGAGACACCAGGCCAGGTGAGTGGGCACCTGGGCACACAGTGCTCCCGGAAGCCATTCGTTCAGCGGGGCAGCCAGCCGTAAGTTCACCATCGCAGCAGTGGTTGTGAGCCACATCATTATGTCCCTCCCAAACTGAGCATATCCATGGCTCAAATTCCTCTTAGCCAGAACTCCAACACCAGGGTAACTTGGAAGAAAAAGAAGATGGAGTAGAAAGAACTGAAAGTTTTACTTGACTAGGGAAACAGTCTATTCATTTTGCAATTTTTTTTTGGTGGGGGGTGTGCAAGTTTTTAAAGAACATACACTGCTAAGGCCCTCCCGTGCATTAGGAGGGGCCCATGCAAATGGGGGCCCCTGACTCAAGCTTCATTGATTTCGTGGTAAACACTCCTCTGAGCTTGGAGTCATAGACATGTGAGTTTGAATCCTGACTCTGCCACTTAGCAGCTGTGAGGGCACAGAGGAAGCTAAAATT